TGCATGATAAAAATTAGGCTTAGCTTGATACAAATGCTTAAATATTGATGAATATTAATATGATAAAAATTAGGCTTGATACAAATGCTTAAAGTTTGTAAAGTACTCCGTAGTCAATTGGATCATTGGATGATTACAAATTGTTAGTTTGTGTATTTCAGTTTTATACCATGATGAATTAAATTTATTCAAATTGTCCCTGATTTAAAAGAATAATTAAATTTGTACAAATTATGCCTGATATATGTATATATAAAACTAATTGCACAAATTAACATATGCAAATTAAGTACCCATATATGATAATACATACATGTACATATATTAATTAATAGCTCGTTCCATTATTGGTTTAATCTAATTTGGTGCATAAGACCCAAATTAAAGAAGCGTGTACATACAATACCATAGTATATATAGGAACTAAACTATTGAATTATAATACTAGTATGTGTCTATATATAGAGGGTTTCATATATATATATCTATGCATATGTAATAATCCTAGCTAGCTAGGGTTAGGGTTTTATATATATAGTGCTAAAAATAAGCTAATTAAGTAAGTAATTAATATCAAAAGACCATTGATTAACATAATAATTACTCTAGCAACATGACTCTCCCTAGTCTCCCATGACTAAGTGGTGTGGTTAGATTGATCTTCATGCAGCCGGCGCATAATCATATGAACCATCATCGTCGTCGTCATCCCCATCAGGTTCCATTGCCTTTGCAAGGATACCATTTGTGCCTCCACACACGACGTGTGCTTGATGAGGATGATTATGAATCTCCGCATGCATGACCATGCACCATAAACCAAGTATAAGAGCTAGATTAGATGCCACCATTTTAATTTTTAGTGAAGTGGGAGAGATTTAATTTATTAGAAGCTAGGTTAGATTATTAATTAAAGACTTTTAGATGGGCTAAACATATATAATAAGGTAATAGAAGTGACCAATTTATATAGGGTAAAAGATGATATAAAGTTGAAGTGAGAAAGGAGGTGCCCATGAACAAGTGAGGAATGGAGGAGGGAGGAATGTGTTGAGAACGTGAAGGCGTATGGTCAGTAAAAGTGTGAATTACATGGAAAATATCACTCTTTTGATTGGTGATAATTTGCTTTTTTGATGGTGCATTGAGTTCTAGTTTTTTTGATTTGTTGGCCAAAAAGCTACTTAGTGATCCGTTGTTCACAAGAATCAATGTTGTCGAGATTACATAGGTAGAGAAGGTATATATACAATTATCCGATAATTGGAATATAAAAAACATGTCATCATATTATGTAAGGTTGCATCTTGTAAAAATTAAAATGGCTTGATTTTTAAAATTTATTCAGAAACCGATCCTTTTAAAAATTTATGGTACGATATTGTTTGTCTAGAAGGTAAACTATGAACCTAAAATCCAGGTAACCTAATTTAAAATTTCTGTGACATACAAGTTAATTACATGGCTTTAAAATGAGCTACTATTATACAAAGATAAGATTGATAAATTTGGAGCCTTTACTTTTATGTCATCTTTGGTTAAATTTATGTGTGAAGATGAGATTAATGAATGGAGCATTGGAGCCTTTATATATTGTCGTCTTTGATTAAAACTGATCTAGTTATAATAACTTCAATTATTATATAAATGGAAAGGTGACAAGTGCTTCTACCTTACCTAGCTAGTAGCTTAGTAGTTTTCTGCCAAACCAATTCCATGAGATAGTTGAATCACTGTTAGGGCTTGTTTGGTTCACCTTATTTTTGCTTATCTAAACTAATCTGATCTGATCTGATCTGATTTGGTATGGTCTAATTTTATCTAATCTGGCCTGATGTAATATGAATGTCATATTTGATCAAACTTTGACCTTGAATATACAATAATCTATACGGAAAAATATATCAAGTGGGGTATTGTTAGATTCGTAATAACGTGATTTTCATAATTTTTTTCATTACAAAATTAAAGATATTTAGTGATAAAAATTGCACATAAAACGATAATCTGATCAGAACTTATTTTTCCTGATCTGATTTATAATCTGACCAAAACTTATTTTTTCTAAAATAAATTTAAAAAAAAAAAAAGTGAACTGAACAAGGCCTTATTTGGTTCAATCTATTAAAAAAGACACTTATACTACCTCCATTTTTTTTAATTAGTTGGCACGTTTTGACTTTAGTATTATTCACACACTCCCCTTTGACCGTATTTTGTGATTTATATGTAATATAAAATATAGTCATGTGGGGTCTTGTTAGATTCGTCACGGTATCCATTTTCTAAATATCAACTTTTTGTAATTTTTGCTTATCGGTAACCAAAGATATTAACGTTTGGATTTGTACATTGGCAAACATGACTAAAGAAACATGTCAACTAAAAAGAAACGGAGGAAGTATAAATTAAAACTTCTTTGTACAAATTTTATCACATTAATTACTTGTTTAAAATACAATATTTATGTTTCGATTAGGGTTAACATATTTTACAACAGCTAATTCGATCATATATTTGTGTAATTGTGTGCATGCAATGATATGCATGCTTTCTTGTAAATCAGCTACGAAGTATATTTTAATGCATGCATGCATCAACCGGGAAGATATATTTAGAATAGCAGTATCCGTAACTATTTAGCCCCTCCTTAGCTTGTACAAAAAAACCTCCAAGATTTATTATGTACAAAAAAAAAAAACAAATCGCGTCTAAATAAAGATTAAAAAATTACAGAAGATTAGGACATAGAAAATATATACAACAACATGAAAGTAAGTGATATATTAGTAAAAGTCATGCATTATAACAAAAGAGTCTTGAAGTTAGCTACTCCGATCCTCTTATTGTCATTATTAGTTTGGGATTGAATCTTCTTTAGAATTATAAAGGACCAAACTTTTTTTTTTTCTTTTTTTTGACACAATATAAATGGACCAAACTTGTTTGGGCTTTCACTGCACGAATGTTATGTATAGTAAGTTTAATTTGACACAATACAACTAACTATAAAGCTAGCTATATTCACCTCAACTTCAATTCAAAACAAACAAGTATTCTCATTTCTGTAATAGTAAGCTTAATTTGAAACAGTTAACTAATTTGTTAAATTTCAATTGAGGTAAAAAGGGGAAAAAATCACTATAAAGCAAGTTTATATTGTGATTTCATCATATATATGGTCAACAATTTCATGTGTACTATAACTTGCTCAAGTAATTTTTTGAAGAAATTGATCATTAAACATTATTTCAAATTATGGCAAGTTATAGTACGTACATATGGACATGTAACTCACATAACTCCATAGGAGTATGGTATAAGACCATAACATATAGTTTAATATATACAAATATATGAACCAATGAATAACATACTTATTATTACTTTCATTTGGCAACTACATACAAACATAATATACCCCCAATTAATTAACTAGCTAGGGCTTACAAACATCTATATGTAAAGGCATGAATGTATGTAATTCTATCTAACAAGGGTTAAGCTAAGGTAACTAGTACATTCAAGTACCATTATTATTTTTCCAAATTAAATTCAATTCTTCCTCATGCAGCAGGCGCAAAATCGTATGGACCGTCAATATTAGCATCGTCATCATCATCTCTGCCGGGTTCCATAGCCATAACAAGGCTTCCATTCGCGCTATAAACAGTATAAACACCATGGATATGTGCATGATCATGATCATCTATCTCCACATGGACAAACATGCTCCATAAATCAAGAATAAGAGATAAAGTAGGAGCCATAATTCGACAAATAATAATTTTTTTTTGGTAAGGAAAGGTAAACAAAAAGTTAGGATAGTCTTCTAATATATCAAGACTATAACTAGACAAAGATATATACTGTAATATATATGGAGTACGTCAGTACGTGTATGTGTGCTAAACTGCTAACTAGCTAAGGTGCTTTGGCTAGGAGCGCGATAACAATATATATAGAGAGAAGGAAATTATTAAAAGAGATCAATGGTGTGAAAGAGAGAGGTGGCCATGAAAAGATGAACTATGAAAGAACATGAAGATGTATGGCGTGAGCATGTCGACAACTATTCTCCATATGTTGTTTGGGTTTATACTATACATTGTACTCCTCTAGATGCCAAGTGCTTCAAAAAATGCCCTTTGTGTGTGGATTGACTGGATTCCGAATCAACACTCTATTTTAGCCTTTTAGCCTTTTGGTCCATCACTCCTCATATATGCAATGTGTTAATTATAAATAACGGCTTTTGAATTCACTAAAAGGAAACTCGACATCAAAATATAACTTGAGTCTTCTATGACTCTAATAATTCTCAAATGAAGAAGAATTTTGGTAAACACAATACAATTGGTACTAATGAAGAACTGGTATTGACTAACTAATTGTATAGTTGATTGTATAAAAATATTTGGTAAATAGTTAATTATTTAAAGTTATTTGAGTATATAAAATGACCAATAAGCTAATTGTGAGAGTAAATAATTAAGATAAGGTTTTAGATTAAATAGGAGCACAAGTGTAATTTCACCTAAAAATTCTGAATTATTTAGTGGTCAATCAGCTGATATTGATCAAGTAAGCCATTTTCGCCCTAATAAGATTTTGGAAAAATATATTAAAAAGCTAAAAATGAAAAGAATTGACAATAAATAAACATTTATTACACCGATTTACTCGTGAATTGTTGATAAATTCTCAACTTAATACTAAAAAAGGAAGCATATTAAATGCTTAGCATTGCCCTAACATTTTTACCAACCACAAAATTTCTAATATTATTAGCATTACTACCTTAAAATTGTTTTTAGTGTTAGTGGTTTTATGATAAAACTACCAATAATATTAGTGGTTTTATTACCTATAAATAGCACAAAATTATGTGATTAATGCCAATATGTCACCAATCTTATGGGCCATAGGCCCATAGCCATACCCCAAGGATGTATGTCAAGATTTTGAACTTCTACCGTCCCCAAAATGAACAACAGAGCAAATTCATTTTTGTGGTTGAAATTAATTTTCCAACAATTTCTAATTGTAATCCAATCCAACTAAAACAAAAGTCAAAAACAAAAAATGAACAACACCCATTTCTTGAAAAAATGGCAGCAAGAGCTCAACTCTCCCACACAATTTCCCGGCCAATTTCCGGCGTATCCCCAACTTTCCGGCGACGTTTCACCGGAATTACCTTCCCAATAACAAATCCTAAAAACCCAATTCCTAGAATTTCAAAAAAATGGGGGAATTCAAAGTTTGCAATAAAGCTAAGTTTACAAGTAGAAGAGAGTAAAATCCCAGCAAAATCAACGGTTGATGTTCAACGAATGGTTGAATTTTTGTATGAAGATTTACCTCATTTGTTTGATGATCAAGGGATTGATCGGACGGCTTACGATGAGCGTGTGATGTTCAGGGACCCCATTACTAAGCATGATACTATTTCTGGGTATTTGTTTAATATTGCTTTTTTGAAGCAGATTTTTAGGCCTATTTTCCAACTACATTGGGCTAAGCAGGTAAAAAAAAATCTTCCTTTTTTTAAATTGGTTGATTTAATTATTGTTCTGAAGTTTTGTGCAGTAGTTACACTTTTACAGTAGATGTTTTAATTGTGAAGGGTAGTGGGAGTATTATCGTAATACTTCCTCCGTTTCATATTAGTTTTCGATGCACTGTATTATGTATTATGATCAATTAATTAGGTAGAATATGTAAAGTACTTTATATGATTGTAGCAGGCAGTTAGATATGGTGGATTGGTGGTAGTAGTGGTGATTTTTGTGTAGTTTTGCGAGGAAAGTTTCAAACTGATATCCATGAAAGTACGTTTTTTCTTCATATACAAGTACTAATTTTAATTACCGCCCTACAGTTGGTATTGAGTGGTACTAGAAATTTATGAAGCACTAATTGTTAGCGTTGCATTATCATGGACATTGACTAATCACGTCATATATTACCACCCACCAAACAGGCTGTTAAGGCATTTAAATTTTCGCGTTGAAAGTCTTACTAGACTAAATAGAGCTAAAATTTTCGTGTTCCACTTTTTATAATGCTGTACGTGTAACTAGATTTTCGGCGTCATTACTCAGAACTGAATGTCATGTAGGGATTTTCTGGCATGATCTTTAATCTGTGTGGGTTACTTTCCTAAATTTGCTCGTTTAAGTGACTTGAGTTGTTGTAGACAGGGCCATATGAGATAACTACAAGGTGGACTATGGTAATGACATTTATTCCCTTGCCGTGGAAACCAGAATTGGTCTTCACTGGAACTTCAGTAATGGGCATCAACCCTGAGACAGGAAAATTCTGTAGTCATGTGGTGAGCTCAGTCGCCATGTGAATTGGTTAAATTTGGTGTACGGACTTATATGAAAATTCGAGAGACCTTATAAGTACATTTCTGACATTGTGAAATATGTAGGATTACTGGGATTCTATAAAGGCCAATGACTATTTTTCTTTGGAAGGCTTATGGGATGTGTTTAGACAGGTATTTGTGTCTTTATTAGTGTAATGAGCTTATGTCATATGCTCTTCAGATTATTAACTAAACACACTCCTTATATGCAGCTTCGTATGTACAAGACACCGGACTTGGAAACACCTAAATATCAGATACTGAAAAGAACTGCAAACTATGAGGTTTGATTTTCTGTACACTGAAGTATATAATGGCGGAATCTCTTCTCTTGTGATTGCAGTTCCATATGATACAAATCTTTGCCTCCTTTCTTAAGGTTGTTTGTTAAGGACGGCTTAGAAAGCTTAAGATTCTTTTTACTATCAAATTGAATAATAGAAAATCTTATGGCAGTCTGGCACCCTAACGGCCTACCAAGTACAACAGGTGTATTTGTATACAATGGACTTAGTCACCTCAAATTTCATAAATGTCACCCACTAATCTACAATCTGATAAAGGTTACATCTTTTTGTGTTGTCCTCTCTCTTTCTCTTTTTGAGGAATTAGGATTAAGAATTTAAGATCCTTCAACAACACTAGCTTGATGAGATTCATATCCATTCCTGGTTTTTTATTTCACTTAAATCTAATATGTGATCCTGAGGAGAGTACAGTCAGTACACTCACAATTCTCACTACACTGTTATTTATGCAAAAACACAGGTACGAAAGTATGCCCCATTTATAGTCGTGGAAACTCAGGGTGACAAGCTTTCTGGATCAGCTGGCTTTAATTCTGTCGCTGGGTAAGTATCATTCCTATTGTTAGACCTATCATCTGCAGGTCAGATAAACTGGTGTTCCCAACAATGATAAGCAATGAGAATTGTTCTTTTCTCCAGATACATATTTGGAAAAAATTCGAAGGAAGAGAAGATACCCATGACTACCCCTGTCTTCACGGAGACCAATGATGCTGGAGAGTCAAAAGTGTCCGTTCAGATAGTCCTTCCTCAAGATAAAGACCTTGACAGGTGGGACTTTGGCCTCCATGGCTGTTAGAATTGGTCTTACTTCCCTCGTAATAGGCCACAAAGTTACGATACCATAACTATCCTCCGTTATCTAAGTTTTAATTTGCACCATGCCCGAAGTAATCTTTCTTTGAAATTCTTAGTTGATGATAACAAGAAGGATATTCTGGCAAGTCAAACTATAACTTGTTAAATTGAGAAATGAGCATATTATTTATGGACAGGGTATCGTTTATTGCTATATCAATTTGTACATATCATGCTCACAATTTACGATATTATCACCATGTTCTTGGAATAAAGTAGTGTCAGGTGGCTCTGCCAGCAGCTTACTAATCGTAGAAAAGTTTGTTTGTATGGCTAACTTGAGCAATTGTGTATGTGTGTATTAGTTTGCCTGACCCTAATCAAGAGACTATCAACCTGAGGAGAGTAGAAGGAGATATTGCTGCAGCACTAAAATTCAGTGGAAAACCTACAGAGGAAGTCGTCAGACAAAAAGAAAGAGAACTTCGGGATAGTCTTATCAGAGATGGTCTCAGACCGAGAAAAGGGTGCTTGCTTGCTCGCTACAATGATCCTGGCCGAACATGGGAGTTCATCATGGTAAGAAGCATTTGTTGTGCAAGTTCATCTTTTGTGAATCGTGTGTCTTGATTACAGGCTCTTACATCTGTTCTCTTTTCCTGCTTTTTTTGGTGGTCTCACTGTACTGAAGAGGAATGAGGTGCTGATATGGCTTGAAGAATTTAGGTTAGAAGAAGATTAGGAAAACTCAGACATTCAAGCTGTTGAAGTAGAACTTCTGATTGCCATGTTTGTTCGGATCACCTCTTCTGGAAGCTGAAGATGAAGATGAAAAATTGAAAACCATATGGATTAGCAATGTTAGATAAACCATAATGATTACATACGTTACTTCATGATATTCTAGGCACAAAGTGTATGAAAACAAAAATCAAGAAGTATGTTCACTTTGTTCTTAGTTTAGATGAGTGTTTGATTATAAAGGTATGGAAACAAAACTAGGCATGCCTTCTCACAAGGCAAAAGCTAGCCTAGTTAGTCAATGTACAATAGTGTCCAAAATCGAAGATCCTATGCTCTAAACTTCTAAAACAATGTGTCGATAAGTGGTTACCAAATTATGTAATGCTCAATTTGCTACTCGATAGATATCTTATTTTTCTAGTTGAGTCATCGACTCATCGGCTTTTATAATTTTATTTATTTTACTACTTCCGGTCCAAATTACTCTCAACTTTGGAATATTTTATATCTTACAAATAACACTCCAAAGTTGCGAATAATTTGTACCGAAGTTAGTATTTAGTTTTCTTTCTGTACACCTTTGACTTGACTTTTACCTCCAATCATTGATTGTTATGCGCAACGAGATTTAAACTTCAGAAGTACTTTTCCTCGCAGTAGCATGCGTGCAATGTGGTCATATTGGTCAAAAAGGTTCTAGAATCAATAGTTTATTTATATTATTGGTTTATATAGATTTATTGATTTATATTATCTAAACGAAATTATTGATTTATATTAAACAGTATTAGTTGTGCAAGTATTTATTAATCATGCATTGAATTTGTAGAAATTGACTTCATTAGCTTTGGAAACATGTGATCGTTAAGACGTAAACCTTCCTAGAAAGCTTCATGCGTATGTCTATGGATCAAATATGTAGGAATATTGGTTGAATTAAATAACTAAAGAAGACTTATATCGCGAATGTAATCATGTATTATGGTTGATTTTAAGATGGCACTAGTTTTGCTAGAAACAAGATGTTTATTTTTTTACGAAAACAAGACGTTTATTAAAAATGTGAATTATTCTACTTTTGACTAGACAAGACGAGTTTGAAAAGTATTCGGTTGTCGAATATGAATTTTCTTGAACAAACTAAAATTATACGTAGTAAAAATTAATTTTATTATTCCAACTTAACTATTTAAATAATCCTAGATGTAAGTCAAGTCCAATTTATAAATCAAGTCGATTTGATATTTATACAATCTACTTATGTACTTAATATGAAGTGGAGTATGTTTTTAAATAGATATTAAAGGTTGAATCCCGCCCTTTATATTTTGGTCTAAAAAATCCGCTGAAGATAATATTTATCAATTAATAAGAGTGCTTCCTCACTTTTAAAAATATGTCATTATATCATAATTAAAAGACGGTTACGGTTTTATCGTAGGTAGGATAAGAGATAGGGAAAGCTAAAATATAGTTGTATGCAATTAAAAGCTACCCTTACATTACTTTGTAAGGAGGAAATGAAATCACATGAGCAATTGATCAAAGCAAGACGTCAAGTTTGACACTTAATTTTGTGCAAACATTAAAAAAATATAGTTTAAGTCTTGAAGATGACCAAAGCATTGCACTAGTATTTACTCGTAATTCCTAACTACCAACAGCTTAAAGCAACATATGTAAGTAGTCTATAAAATCATCCCTTTCATCAAATTATTAGGGCAATGAACACTAATCTCATTGTCAAACAATCTTATTACTTGTAATTACGGAGTAATTCATATCGGGTTAATTTACATAAAGAAAATTGAGGGGGGAAATTACCAATAATAGACATATCTAGATTTAAGTAGATCATAGTATCATACCAATCAAGACTAAGAAAATCTAATCATATTTTATTTCTTTTGAAAAAAAAGAAAAGATAAAAGAAGCATTAGGAATCTCTAGGATGGAAATTTCTAATGTAAGAAAATCTATTGAAATGGATATAGCATCACACTTACTTCAAACAGTATATGAAGAAAATTATAGTATTGTTTGGTAATTCCCTTACATTATCCATTATTCTAGGTAAACTTGTGTTTTATTCACCTGAATTTTCATTTATCTAAACCTATTTTATCTTATTAAAACTTATAAGAACTAATTAATCTTTATTAAAACTTATTGTAGTTGGAATTTGAACTTGAATACCTTAATCAGAACTTATTTTTTCTTAACTTATCTAATCTGAACTTATTTAAACGTCCGTCAACTTATAAGACTTTAATTAAGTAAAATTATAATTAACAAATTAAGGCCTTACTGTTTCTTTTTACCTAAGTACCTATATCCAATATTCATGTATAAACTTTATGTTTACCCTTTTTTCATAAAAGCTTTAGCTTTGTTCATTTAATAATTTGTGTTGGATTAAACACAACATACATTTTCACAAGATTAACTTTTTACAAAATATGTTTTTTATCAATAAAATAATAGTCAAATGTTGACAAACATGTCAGGTCAAAATAATGTAACTATGGATAATAAAATTTAATAACTTTATATTTAACCAGTGTTGTAAAAATAAGTGTTTCAAAGGCTACAAATAACAAAATGAATAATGTAATTGTTTGATCCAAAGAAAGATGTTGTGGCGTGAATTCGTTAATTCCGGCGCAAGCGAGGTGCTCATTGTATCGCCGATACGTTTGTTTTCAAAAGCAGTGACGAAGTCATGCCACATCATCTTCCTTTTGATCAACAATTACATTATTCATTCCGTTATTCGTTGCCTTTGAAACACTTATTTTATAATAATCAGTACTCCCACATACAAAACATTAATAAAAACACGTCAAACCGACTTTCAATACGAGGAACTTTACAACTTGTTCACAAGTCTTCCTTACCTTACGTTATGCTTATGGTACTATAAATATAGCCGTTGATCACACACAAAAAATAACACCCAAATCTCAAACATTTCAAACCCAGTAGGCGCCGCCGCGCAAGTAACACAAATAATCTCTCACTACCCAAAAAAAAAAAACTCCTTTAATTAATTTTTAAATTTTAATTTTATTAATATTAATTTCTTAATAAATAATCGCGAGAAACGCGTAAGTTTGCTGTTGCCAGTTCCTCATTTCAGTCAGTGGTAACCCATTATCTTCTCCACTCAATTATAAAAAAATTTACTATTGAACTGGGTTTTTGTCTAATTATAGATTCATATTTAGTCTTAATTTTTATTTTTTTAAGAAAAAATAGTGAATTATTTTGCTAAAAAGTCAATTCTTTTTTTTTTTTTTTTTTGGCTTTTTTGGGGGTTTCACGTGGTTGAGATTCCTCCTCCATTCTTTGCATTTGGGAGGGTCCCTTTTTACAACTCTGTCATTTGTTTGCTGCTCTGGTGGGATCTTCTTACTCTCTGGTTAGTTTCTGATCTGGGTTTTTTTTTCTTCTAATTTTTCTAATTTTTTTGAACTTTTTTGGTGTAAATTTGGATGAACTGATTTGATTTATGGATTAAGTATGCATCTAGGGTTGATTTGATGTTTTAATGATGATAAAGATTTGATTTTGTTTGAATTTTTTTGGTGGCAAAGTTGTGCATATTTTAGATTAACTGTTGTGATTAATTTTTAATTAGTTTTTATTTAGATTGTTTGATTTTGTAATGATGAAAAAGTTGTGAACTTTTTAAGTGATTAGTTTATGGTTTTCTATTTGATTAGGATTGGATGATGATGATGGCATTTCTAAGCATGATTTGGGTTTTTTTTGTGTTTAATTGAAATGGGTTGGTTTTAATTTTTATTGATTTGGTTTTAGTGCTAATTCTTCATCTGGGTTGACGTGATTTGTTGAATTTGAAAAAGATAGGAACTTTATTTTGGATAAACTGAGAATTGGGATTTGGGAAGTTTAGAGAAAGTGTAAATTGTGATTATGGATCTAAATCAATTTTGTTTAGGGTTTATGAATTTCTTGTTTCAAGTGAGACAATTACATAAATCGGTTGACTTAAATTTTCAGATGTAAATAATAAAGAAAAATCAAATTCTGTTTGAATTTTGAGTTAAAGGTGTTTTATCTCTTACTGATGCTTAAAGATACAGTGTTTTTGTCATGCTTTTGGTATAAATAAGAAGTAAGAACATTACCAGCTTTTTTGCATATAGTTGGATTCAGTCTAATTCAATTCTGTAATGTTTACATAGAGTGGAAGAAGGAATAAAATGGCGGAGGCAAAACCCACTACACCCCTGATCCCACCATCAGCAACCAACTCGTCGGCTTCACCGTCGAGAAAGCTACCTGATTTTAAGCAATCTGTGAGGTTGAAGTATGTCAAGCTTGGTTACCATTACCTTATTACTCATGCTATGTACCTTTTACTGACTCCTTTTGTAGTCATACTTGCTGCTCAGCTCTCCACTTTTTCACTAGAAGACATTAATTTGCTTTGGGAGCATCTTCAATATAACCTTATTTCTGTGATTATCTGCTCAACCCTTATTGTCTTCCTGTCCACTTTGTACTTTATGACCCGCCCTCGCCCTGTTTACCTTGTTAATTTCTCATGCGCTAAGCCAAATGATTCCCTTAAATGTCCGAGGCCCTATTTCATGGATAAAACTGAGTCTGCTAAGGTGTTTTCTGACCAAATCCTTGGTTTTCAGAGAAAAATCCTTGAGAGGTCTGGCCTTGGGGAGGAAACTTACCTACCAGAGTCTCTTCATAATACACCTCCAAACCCTTCTATGGCGTCTGCCCGGGCTGAGGCCGAGGAGGTGATGTATGGTGCCATTGATGAGCTATTAGCCAAGACCAATGTGAAACCCAAGGATATTGGGATTTTAGTTGTCAACTGTAGCTTGTTTAATCCTACCCCTTCCCTCTCTGCAATGATTGTGAACCATTATAAGCTACGAGGGAACATTGTGAGCTATAACCTTGGAGGAATGGGATGTAGTGCCGGGGTCATTTCCATTGATCTTGCTAAGCAACTCCTTCAAGTTCACCCAAATTCTTATGCTTTGGTTGTTAGTACTGAAAACATCACTTTGAATTGGTACCTAGGGAATGAACGTTCAATGCTTCTTCCGAATTGCTTGTTTAGAATGGGTGCTGCTGCTATACTTCTTTCTAACAAAAGATCGGATAAGAGAAGGTCCAAGTACCAGTTAGTTCACAGTGTTAGGACCCATAAAGGTTCTGATGATAAGTGCTACTCTTGTGTTTACCAAGAAGAAGATGCTGAAGGGAAGGTTGGTGTTTCTCTATCCAAAGAATTGATGGCAGTTGCTGGTGATGCCTTGAAAACCAACATTACTACTCTCGGGCCTCTTGTTCTTCCAATGTCCGAACAACTGCTCTTCTTGGCCACATTGGTTGGAAAGAAACTTTTCAATATGAAGATCAAGCCTTACATACCTGATTTCAAGTTGGCTTTCGAG